TGTGATACACAATGTTACTACTCTTTGCCTAAAAAGAAAAGAAATATGATGCATGGACCTGAGATAATGCCAAAGGCATTGTTAATGACAGTAGGAGTTAAGTTAGTAAATTATTCATATATATAAGAAAGTACACAAGATGGAACAAGGAAAGTTCCAACTGAACCTAAAGAAATAAAATGAGGATTGCCAAGGGTTGAGACAGGTTGTCCAGAGAGGCTGTAGAATTGCCATCCTTGGATATACACAGACTTTCTTTGGATGAAGCCCTGAGCAATCTGAATTAACCTTAATGTTAGACCTGCTTTGAGCAGAGGCATTGGACAAGATGGCATTTAGTATATAGTTCTATTCTAGATAATGTTCTACTTGATTGGGAATTTCACTGGAAATAAGAGATCCCCAAGTGGTTATATGTGATCTCCTCTTAACACCTGAGTAAATGTGCAGTAAATTCAAGTAAGTTGCCTGCAGTTTGAAGGAGGTTGATTTTCCTCTCTGTTCAGCATTGATGAGGTGACCCATGGAGTGCTATGGTCAGTTTTGGGCTTCTCAGAACAAGAAAGATGTGAAGTGAGTCCAACCTAGGGCCATAAAGATGGTTAAGGGATTAAGTGTTGTTCATTTGAAGTGAGGCTGAGAGTTTGGGGACTGCTCAGCTGGGAAAAAAACAGCTCAAGGGGATCTTATCAGCATGTATAAATACTCAGTGGGAGAGAACATAGATAAGTCAAACTGCTCTCAATATTGTCCACTGACAGGACAAAAGGTAATGGGCACAAATTGAAACACATGGAATTCCATCTGATAACAAGAAAACTTTCTTTTTTTTTTTTAACTATGAAAATGATCAAAATGGGTACAGATTGCCCAGAGAATGGGTAGAGCCCCATCTGTGAAGATAATCAAAACCCCACTGGATACAGCCCTGGACAGCCTGCTTTAGCTGACCCTGCTTGAGCAGACGGGTTGGATTAGGTTATCTCAGGAGGTGACTTCAACCTAAACAATTTGGTGAAGTTTTCAAGTTTTTAAAAGTTGTAGAATGGCATTTTCATCAAATGTCTAGAGGCTCAGTTCCCTCTAAATATCATTCAGGTTGCTACACAATTTTTATTAAGAGAAGTAGGGATTTATTTTCCATTAGTTTCCTAGTTCAGATGTGTCCCAGTAATTCTTCATCTACAAAATGCAAGTAACTCTTAGGATAACTGGAGGGTAGCTGGAGACTTGCCTAGAAACAGACTCCAGTGTAGCTCCGTAGGGATGTAACATTTTACCAGTGTAGATCTACTTGCAGAATTAGAATTATTCACTCATTTCAAATGTTACTGAGAATTTGAATATTGACCAGTGTTTATTTTCTCTTTGGAATTTACTTGGGAACTGATGTCGAACATTGGTATTTTTTTAAAATGTTGGAACTGCTTTAATGAAATGCTTGGAGTTCACATATTCTTGTGTGTCCTGGCTGTTCCTTTAAAAAGATACATTTAATTCTTATTAAATGTAAATAATTACTCTGTTTCACATGTAAAGAATTACATTCACATGAGGATGATCCAGTAGTTCTCTAAGGATTTCAAGAAACTACTCCTCAATGTTGATAACACTTAGAAAGCAGTCTTTATTTTCTATTTTTTAGACAAGTTCACATATGTAAAAAAGAACTTGGTTTAAAAAAAAAGTAAGCACTGTGTTAGAGGGCACTCTGGGAACTGCTGAGTACAAGCCAGTTGATGAGAAAGTAAAAAGTTTGAGAAACACAGAAAATGAGAGCAGCTGTATTTTCATCACTCATTTGAGGACTATAATCACCCTCTCTGTCATACCATGTTTCCTTTCACCTGTACGTGATATATATTTACTCTGATGAGCTAAGTTCATTTTCTTGATTCTGTTTCTTTCATATTTCGTGTTTGATTCTTTTGAATCAAACACTATTCCTCTGTTGCCTTTTAACTGCTATAAGTAGATCAAAATTCTCATATCACTTATGGACCTGTATTTTTAAATAAACCTGTTGTATGTAATGCTAGGAGTTAACTACCTTTGAAATTATAATTAATTCATAAGCATTTATTACAATAATTTTCTTCCTTATGATATAAAGTGGGAGTAAGTATTTAGGATCTGCTTTCATCTGATAATGAAATGAGAGCTTCCTTGCTGCTTCTTGTTTGCTCTTTATGTTGTGGTCTTGAAAGGTGCTGAAAGCTTCAACTTTCATCACCTTCAGTCAGCATCTCATAAATACACTTGGTACCAACAGGACTGAGTGGAGAGATGAGGCAAGAATTTGTCATCTACACTGTCACTTACCTGGCATGGGACTGGTTGCCCTTAAAAGAACTTCAGTATTGCTTGTGGGAACCTATTCCAGTTGTGTATGTTTACAATTACTACAGTAATTGCAACTGCCGTGTGATTATTACTGTATAGGCTACACGGTATAATAAATGACCTGAGTTTTTGATGTGCTTGAATCAAACACTGTGCATCAATTACTGTGCAAACGTGAGCCTAGCTGACTAATTTGTTTAGAAGATGTTGGGTTCTTTTTTTTTCTAGTGAGACACTTAAAGTATGATTTGAAATCTCACTTAGAAACCAGTTTATTTTTAAAACAAGTCTTACCAGATGCAGTCATTTTGAAACAGCCAGGAAAGTATCAGCAGTTGCTTGTTTTAAATGCATGTATGTAAGTTTAATAATGCTGTATCATACTTAGCCTACATTCAAGCAGGGCCACTCTCATGCTCATTCTGAAAAATGTCAACTTCTGCTAAACTGACAGAAGGTGACTAAAATATTCCATGAGATGTATGTAGTCTGTGTTGTCTATTTCTCTGTTTAGTTTAGAGTTCTGTGTTCTTTAGCCTTTGGCTCATCAGTGTGTGCTTTATGGTATAATAATGCAAACAATAGTTAACAAGAGAAGGCCAAAGCCATTAACTCTTTGTTAAACTGTTACTGTATCCTGGGGTGCATCAGGCACAGCATGGCCAGCTGGTCAAGGGAGGTGTGTGTCCTGCTCTGCTCTGCACTAGGGCAGCCTCACCTTGAGTGCAGGGGGCAATTTTGGGCACCACAATATAAGAAAGATGTTAAGCTATTAGAGAGTGTCCAAGGGAGGACAAACACCACAACGAAAATGGTGAAGGACCTTGAGGGGAAGCTGTATGAGGAGCGGCTGAGGTCACTTGGTCTTGGTCCAGTTTCAGCCTGGAGGAGACTGAGGGGAGACCTCATCACAGTGTACAGCTTCCTCATGAGGGGATGCAAAGGGGCAGGCACTGATCTGTTCTCTGTGGTGACCAGGACGTGAGGAAATGGTATGAAGCTGTCAGCAGAGGTTTAGGTTGGATATTAGGAAAAGGTTCACCCAGAGGGTGGTTGAGCACTGGAACAGGCTCCCCAGGGAAGTGGTCACAGCACCAAGCCTGACAGAGTTCAAGAAGTGTTTGGACAATGTTCTCAGGCATATGGTGGGATTCTTTGAGTGTCCCATGCAGGGCCAGGAGTTAGATTCAATGATCCTTGTGCCTCCCTTCCAGCTCAGCATATTCTGTGATTCTATGCTGCTTCAAAAGTTCTGTTCATGTTGTGAACAAATAATCTTATGCAAGATGAATATTTTATCAGCAAAAATTATGTATGTTCTGTTGAATTACTCTGTATCTGGCTTATCATGTATTCATCATTGTACTGTAACTTTAATGGTAACAGTTTTTAGTGCACCTGACTCAGACTGGCAATTGATTTGATGCACGTGTAGATCTGTTGGCTGGTAAATATTCCAGAGGTAAGAATGTATGGCAGGAACAGGCCAAAATTATTATTCTCCTGTTGTAGCACTTACCCAAGGATGAAAGGGAGAGTGCATTAGAGAGCCAATGCAAAGTGAGTATTTATCTAAAAATGTAGAATGGACAAGCAAATACCTAACACAGTCACAGGTAAAGTGGTGGCATTGCAGCTGATACAGGAACTGCCTCCTTCTTATGTTTTTGTCATTATTGTTAGAAGTAGTGTAGAAGAAATTTTCTAGAAATAGTAAAATTGAAAAATTAAGGCAGCTTTAGTTTTCTGGATAATTACCTGGTGCATTTCTTAGAAGAGGGAGCAAAGAGCAGGTGCCCTGAACCGTGGAGCTTTCACTCGTGCTTCGCCGTTCTTTGGCTATTTGCTCTCGGTTCGAGGAAAGCACATGTATGTTCACAGGACTTGGTTAACTTACTCCACTGTTTATCATTTGCATTTGCGGGCTGGAGAAATGGGTTTAACTTTCCCTCTTCCAGGGGCAGAAGCTGAAGTTATTTTCAAGAAGCGGCGGCGGGGCCGGGCTGGGCTCCGCTCCTGCTCTTACCTGGCCCGGCCGCCCCGCTCCCTCGGGGGCTCCCCCGGCGCGGGGCTCCGGCCGCCGCCGCCCGGAGGGCGCTGCGGGGCTCGGCCGGGGAGCAGCGCCTGCGCGCCCGTCCCGCCCGCCCCGGGACCGGCCGCGGCAGCCGGCGGGGAGGAGGGAGCGCCCGGAGCGGGGGGAGGCGCGCCGCCTTTCTCTTTCTCTTTCGCCGGGCGCCCGCCCGAGGCCGCGGGGCTGCGCCAGGTACGGCGGAAGGCGCCGCAGGTGCGGCAGGGGAGGGACGGGAGCCGGGCGAGCGGCGGCACAGCCGGGGCTCCGCCGCCCTCTCCGGCCGCGGCTGCCGCGGGGCGGCGGGGGGTGCTCCCCGCGGGGCCGCCAAGGCCTGCGGGCCCGGAGCGCCGGGAGGGGGGCGCAGGGAGGGCGGCGGGGCCGGCCCCGGCCCCTGCACCTGTCACCGGCCCCGCGGCTCGTCCGGAGCCTGGCGGGGCGGGGCGCGGCCTCGGAGCTCCGCGGCCGGGCTGCTGTTATGTAAATAACGGCCCGGTGCCCCCGCCAAGTTCATGGCGACGCTGCTTCCCGGGGCATCGCCGCTGTCCGGCCAGGTTTACAAAGGTCTCTCTTTCCACGTGTGTTACAGGTAGGAAAATGACTCGCCTGTCACGGGAGCAGGAGTTATGAGCCATGTCCCAGTGAGACCGGCGGAATTAAGAGCAAATGCCTGGAGAAGTCCAGTTGCACAGAGCAGTGCTACGGCTCTTGTGAACTGCGGGTATCGACGCCTCTCAGACTCGCTTCTCTGGCCCCGAGCACTCTGCCAGTATTTCCTGCCCCACGAATGGCTACTCAGAGGAAGCACTTGGTGAAAGATTTCAATCCTCATATCACCTGCTATATCTGTAAAGGCTATCTCATCAAGCCAACCACAGTAACCGAGTGCCTCCATACCTGTAAGTAGTACTTTGCAAAATATTGCCTCCTTCATAAGTGATGTTTGCTTGAAGTGATGCTTGCTTGTTAATGTATGTAATATGATCACTGTACTGGTTTCTGTTCACTGAATTTTTACATGAAATTCTCTGAATGAATTCAGTCTCAACTGGGGTTTCCTAAAGACTGGTCTCCAATCTGGGTCATCTTTAACTGTGTTCCACAGTACAAGAGAGACATGGAGCTCCTGGAGCCAGGTGCAGTGGAGAGCTACTAAGTTGATCAAGGGTCTGGAGAATCTCTTTTATGAGGAAAGGCAGAGGGATTTGAGAAGAGCAGCCTTGAGAAGAGGCAGCTGAGAGGGGACCTCATTAATATGTATAAATATCTAAAGGATGGGTGTCAGGAGGATGGAGGCTCTTCTCAGTGGTGCCAAGCAATAGGGCAAGAGGCAATGGGCAGAAACTGATGAATAGGAAGTTCTACCTGAACACAAGGAAGAACTTCTGTACTATGCAAGTAACCATACACTGTAACAGATCACCCAGAGAGGTTGGGGGGTCTCCCTCCCTGGAGATACTCAAGAACCCTCTGGATGCAATCCTGTGCCATGTGCTCTAGGATGACCCTGCTTGAGCAGGGAGGTTGGACCAGATGACCCACTGTGGCCCCTTCCAAGCTGACCAATTCTGTGAAGGTATGTCAGCTCTGCTGAAACGCCTTGTGAAGATACATCTTTTCTTTCTCCTAAGCTAGTGGTGATTGTGCTGGCTCTAACACCAAAATTGTATCACTGTGGCCTGGCTGATCATGGTGATATCATTAGTGAGGTCAGGTGTGCTATTTTGATAATATAACTATGCTCTTGAAACTTAAGCTAATGTATCTGTTGGCAGTGTGCATGATGGATACACAAATTTGGTCAGTTCTGGCACACAACTCTCTGTAATGTGTTCCATGGAAAATGCAGAGAAGTACTTGAAAGTTGGCAAAATATTTAGGGAGTAGATTTCTTTCAATAAAACTGTCTCAGGAAAAATTATTCAGGTTGTCTTAGGCTCCTGATATATCTTAAACATTGGCGTGTATGAATTATATTAAGAGTATGAATGGTCCTGTCAAACTCAGTCATCTTACTTCCATACTTGATTTTTTTACATGTATTCCTGAATAGACAGTAGTTTGATTGGACCTTCTTGAGAATTTGATATCTTTCCAAATGAAATTTGAAGTCTTCTAAAAGAAGAGTAAAGGGAACTGTATGCGTCTGGTAATTTTTCCATTTTCAGACCTTTAATAAATATCAGTTAAATGCCTTGTCTTGGAATTTTCTGTCATTTCTGCACACTGTTGTTCTTGCAGTTGTTATTGTCTTCACTGTTAATTTTTACATTATGGTGTTATGTCCCTGCTATATCACAAACATAGAGAATTAAAACAATGGAAGCCATTGTGCATCAGGAAAACTGTGGCATAGTTGCCATCACAGAACCGTAGTGGGATAATTCACACAACTTGGAGGGCTTCAATAGATGGCTATAAACTCTTCAGAAGGGGTAGGCAAAGGAGAGCTAGTGGGGTAGCACTCTTAGGGAGTGTTTTGGGTGTCTAGAACTTAATGCTGGTGATAATAGAGTTGAGTGTTTAAGAATTGGAGGGGAAGGCCAACAAGGCCTATCGTTGTGGATGTCTGTTATAAGATCACCCAACCAGAATGAAGAGGCAGATGAAATACTTTGTAAGCGGTTGAGGGAAGTCTCACAGTCTCTAGCACTTGTTCTGTTGGACAACTTCAACTTAGCAATGTCTTCTGGAAGTACTCTACAGCAGAGAGAAGACGGTTTAAGTGGTCCTGGAGTATGTGGAGGATAACTTCCTGACACAGCTCACAGGAGTGAGGCCCTGCTGGATCTGCTGTTAATGGACAGTGAAGGACTGGTGGGGAGTGGAGGCTGTCTTTGGGCACAGCAATCACAAAGGATAGTCTTCAATTCTTGGAGAAGTTAGGATGTTGTTTAGCACAACTGTTCCTTGGGCTTCTGGGGTTCAGAATTTGGAGCCTGGTTGACAGTCCTTTCTTTGGGAGGCAGTCCTGAAGGGCAAAGTTGTCCAGGAAGGCTATACATGCTTTAAGGAGAAAATCCTACAGGCACAGGAGCTGGCTGTCCCCATGAACCAAAAGATGAGTTGTCAGAGAAGATGACCAGCTTGGCTGTACAGAAAGCCTTGTCTGGAACTCAGTAAAAAAAGGAGAGTTTATTAATTTGGAAGAAGGGGCAGTAAACTCTGGAGGACTGCAAGGATGCCATGAAGTTATGCAGAAAGAAAATTAGAAGGGCCAAAGCCCAAGCAGAACTTAATCTGGTTACTGCCATAAAAGAGAATTGAAATTGTTTCTGTAAGTCTATGCATGAGTAACAAAAGGAGGTCTAAGGAGAATCTCCATCCTTTTTTGGACACAGAGGGAAAATAGTGACGAAGGATCAGGAGAAGGCTGAGGTACTTAATAGAGGTAAATTAATAGCAGTAAACATATTATTAAATTCTTTCCCTTTAAAGAAACTTTCCCTTTAAAGAAAAATTCTGGTATTAGCTAATTTTTTTTATGGTTGAAGTTTAATGAGCAGTAGTAACTTTTAAAAGGTTCAGGTGAGGGGGAAGCAGTTACTTCAGTAATCAGCTCAGACTTGAAAAATGTTTTTATTCTGTATGTTTTTGTTTAGGTGGTTTATTTGTTTATTTATTTTTCACTCCCATTACAAAACAATAATGGCAGAAAGAGTGTTCTCTTCTCAGTAGCATCTCTTTTGTTCACTTGTAGATTGAGAGCTCTTCACTTAGACAGCTCTGTTACTGCCTCGTCCCCACATTAGAGGACATGAATTTTGCTGAGCTGCCATAGAGTTGCACAGATCTCCTCCCCAAAAAGCTGTTTGGGTCATTAAGAAGAACTGCAGGAAAGAAGGCGGTGTTTCTTTAAAGCAAAGTTTAGTTGCCAAAATACAAGCTTACAGTGATGGAAAGGAAAAAGAAATGAAAAAAGTGATGACATGGAAGTCTTATGTCTGTAGAGGAAAAGGTGATCTCTGAGTGGCAGAATTCAGGACATCACAAAATACAATGATTTTAACTATCCTTTGATATTTGTTTTGTACTATTAATTGCCATAATTCAAAACAGTGTTGCACAAATGATCAAAATCTGCAGATATTAATGGTTGAAGAAGCAGCATAAATTCATTAGATACTTGGAGTACAATGTATTGCTCTGGATAAGATGAAAAGCGTATATTGACATAGGTGTTCTGCAGTGATCATAAGGGAACTGTTGTGATCAGTAGCAACCAAAGCAGTTAGCAGTTCATTTGCACATTCTGTGTTGTTGAAAAATGTTAGGTAGTAGAGTTCTGCTCTGAGAAATGAGTGACTTTTTAATAAGAGATATTTCTGAAGGAGTTTTTGGAAATGTTGGGCAGATAAGTCCACCATTGACTGGGAAACATAAGCGCAACTTGGGCATCAGAAGTACAAACTTTTCTATCTCTACTGTGAAGGAAATTATTATCTTACTGCAAAATAATTACTTATTCTGAAAATTCAGTACTTCATTTTTTTTTGCTACTTCCAACAGAATGGTTTTGTTTTATGGGCTGAGACCTTTTTCCTAGTCTGTTACACAGTTGTCATGGGTGTTTAAGAACTATTGATTGAAGCAGGCTGGGTGTGAGCTAAAGGGCCATGTCCCATCATCTGTTGTTTAGTACAGCGTGCGCTTACAAAACTTGGAAAATAAACTTTTCTCAGGAATGTTTTTTAGTGTCCTAAAAAAATATCAGACTGTTTACACAATCATAGATATGCTTGTTGAATTGGACATCTGGAGGCTGTCTAGGCTAACATGCATGAGACAGATTTGTTGCCAGCACTATACCAGGTCAAGCCATGGCTCTGTATAGCTGACATGTGGCTTTTCAAGCATGGTGTATCTACAGCCTCTCTCAAGATCCATTTCCAGTGCTACAGTCTTTACCTAGCTTTACTGAATGTCCTACCAAATGTCGATGTGGGACCATTGTTCCTTGTGATAGTATTTGCCACTCCCAAGAAGACTGGGCTCCGTCACTCCTGTAAGTGCTGTTTGGGTGGTACAGGCTGTTATTAGATCACCTGATAGTCTATAATATGATTCATTTTTGGCAAATTTGTATTACTTATTACTGATTACATTTTTGTCCCTCATGTCATTGGAAATTGATTCCAGGGGCCATGATGTAATCTACCATCTTTCCCGGGAGCTAGGGGAGACTGTTGAGCTGTACTTACCTGGGTCATCCTTCCCCTCTTTATTAAAGGTGGATATAACATAATACCCTTTTCTAGTCACTGAACACCTTTTCATAATCACCATGATTATGGTGATAAGCTTTCATCTTAGTGAATCCTACCTGGCCTGTAGATTTGAATATGTCAGGTTTTCTCAGTAGGCCCAAACCTGCTGCTCCTTGGCTGTTGATCATCCCTCTCCTTCCCAAATCATGCTCTGCCTGTGAAGACCAAGGCAAAAAGGTACTGAGGACTTCAAACCTTTCCGTATTACCTCCTCCCAAGTTGTTTCCTTCATTCATTATCGTTTTGTCTAAACTTCCTTCAGCTACTAGCATACTTACACAATTCCCTTATGTCTCTCACTAGTTTTAGCTATGGCTGGGCCTTGGCTTTCCTACTTTTGTCCCTAAGTGCCAGAGTACTGATTTTATATCTGTTTCCCATCCTTGTCTCCACTTCTAATACGCTCTACTTTTGCATATTAAAGAACTTTATGCATCAAGCATTTCGTGTGCACTAAGGAGTTCTTCTGACAAAATTCCCTATACAACAGACTGGTTAGCTCTTGAGGTCTATATAAATTTTCTCTTAAAAACCCAGCCAACTCTCCTAAGTTTCTTTCTAATGATAGATTTCTTGGGAAATCTGACAAGGAGTTGCTTAAACAAGTTGAAGTGCCATCTCCTGGAGTTCAGAATCCTAACTCTGCTGTTTAACTATGTATCCTTCCTCAAGATCCTGAACTCAGTCCTCCTGAGCTATTTGCCTCACCTCAAGGCAAGCTGTCTGTGTCTGTGTTCCTCACCAGTTTTTCCCTGTTTATGAACAGCAGATCAAGTGGTGCATTAATCCTAATTGGTCTCTCTAGTATTTGCCTTAAGAAATTGTCGACCAAGGCAGTCTAGGAACTTTCAGAAATGACCTTTCACACAGCAAAATTACCAGATATGTAATTTTCAGTATCAAACGAATACTCCTGAAACCAGAGTGTTTTTCAGATTTTGCTAGAAACCTGTGCTCTCAACAGGAGATCACAAAAAAACTTATTGCAGCAAAACTCACCCTCAGACAGGTGAGCTGAGCTGCTTTCAGACTCCTCCTCCTGCAAAAGCTTTAGTCAATGACATGTAGCAGGGCTTAAAGGTTATTTTAAAATAGAAGTTTTCAACACGAAAAGTCTTTCTTGGTCATCATGTACTAAGATTATGATGCTCCCTTTTAACAGAAGGGAATCCGGTTTGGCTGTGTCTGGTAATTGTAATAAAGAGTGGAATAGTCTCACATGTGTAGTTTCTGAAAAGGGTGGTTAATTGTATTGAAGTTTGTGTCCTGTTTTTATGCAGACAATTTCTCTAAATGTAAGTGCTTGTAAAGAAGGTTTAAGGTAGCTAATTAAATACTTCATTATACATACCAAACAACTTCTTTGCCTACACTGAGATGGGTTTGATGTTCCACTAGCTGTGTGTATCCTGTACCCCTCCTTTGCTCACTGGATCAGAGAGTAATTAACTTTGAGAGAGAAGATCTGTGAAAGCATTCAAAGGATGGGTTCTGACAAAGAATTTGTCCCACAATTAACTAATTAAACTTTCTCTTGTAGAATATTTTATTTCAAAAATGCAATATGAAGTTTTATTTAGGTACCTCATTAGTCAACATTTAAACAATAACCTGGGAGGAGTCTACCCTTTGAACTATAGGTATGTGGATTTGCATAAGATATGTACATTTTTGTTTGCCTAAGATGGCACACAGCACAATCCTGACACTTGTATCTGTATTTTTCATCTAATTACGAAGATCTGAAAGAATGTGTGAACCAGATACCTCTGTTTTGGAAAACGTAGCATTGTCTGTTATGGTTGCCAGCCAATTAGCATATGTCACACAAGTACTTTTATCAGCTGTAGAAAATCATCGTATGTGAGTTTAACTTCTATTGTGTCTCACCTGAAATGTTATAGTACAATTGTGAAATTCAGGTCCTCCTTTCTCTGGCATTCGTACCATACACCTCAAAATTCTGCAAACTGTGTACATTTTGGTTAAGCAGTTTCCTTTCTCCTGTTTGCTGCTATACCATGACCTACAGTAAAGCAAATGATACTGTGTCATTTTGTTAATCTGTACTGGAAGTGTAAAAGGTTTTTCATTCAGTGTTTGTTTTTTTCCTGAGGAAGTGAATTAAATATATTTGTAATTTATTTGTGGTTAAAGATTCCCTTTTTCCCTATTTTCACCCAATACTTAGACTTCATCCCATTTTCTGAAACTACCAAGTGATAGACTTTGAAAAATGTTCAGTGATTTATATCGAGAGTAACAGAGGACTCTTATACCTGTCATATCTGAAAATACTATAGGAGTATCATGTATCAGTTTGTTATTCTTGCATGCTAGAATTTGTAAGTATTTTTTACCTTTATATTGCTATTGATGAATCACATTTAGTTTTGATGGGCAAGTCCTCATAGCACCTCATAGGTTTGCATGAGAAAAAGTGAAAGTTGTTTTAGATTACTGCAGTATTGATTTACAATTTGAAGGTTTTTTTCATGGCATTGAGCTGGCTGTACAAACACTTGATCCAGATCTGCGTGTTTGTCGGCACAGGCAATACATCCATATAGGACTGGAATAAGATTCTTGGTTCCTTGTGATGTTTTTTTCTGTACATATTTTACTCAGAGAGCTTTCTTACACTAGAGATTAAACTCTTCATTAATCATTAGGTCCATTCCTGGACAGTGCATGGCTTCCAAGGGTGTCATCTTCTCTCAAGGAAAGGTATAAAGAGAGCACATAAATACATTCAGACTGGGGAATTCAGTTCCTTTCCATAGATTGGTTTGTATGATAAATATTTCTTCAAATTACATTATTGTGGATGTTGCAAAAGAAAAAAAATCTAATACAATCATAGAATGGTTTGGGTTGGAAGGGACCCTTAGGTAGTTCCAACCTCCCTACCATGGGCAGGGGCACCCTCCAGTAGTTCAAGTTACTCAGCCTCATCCAACCTGGCCATTTTCCAGACAAAAGAAGGTTAGGAGTTGAGCTTATCAGTCCCAAAATTAATATTGACGAATACCAGTTACATTTGTACCTTTTTTGCCACTTTGTTTAAAGTTGGTGTCAGGTTAGAAAGACTCCATAGAGGTGCTGCTGTTTATACCAGACAGGAGGCTTACCAAAAAATAAAAATAAAGACTAACTCCTTCCTTTATTATAGGAGTTAGCTGAGAATCTTCATATCTTTTCAATTTCAAGGATAATTTCTGTTATTTTCAGTCCTAGAGGAGATTCTCAGTCATATTAATGGGGAGATGTTATAGAAATCTTAACTACATGCATTTTAAAAGTTAAGACTTGTGCTCTAAGTTCAACATGTTCTTAAATGCTCTGTTGGGTTCACATGGGGGCTTCTATAAGGGTGATGAAATTCTCTCCATCATCTAAGCGTAGTAGCAAAATATTTACTTTTAGGAGTATTAGTTAGAAAACGTATGTAGAAAAATGAAGAAATGTTGTTGTAGGTACAATCACATTTGCTGCTCTGTACCAGACTTACCTTCTGGAAGTGTTAGGGAACGAATGTGCAAAAATCAATTAAGTCTAGTAATTTAACAAATTATAAAAGATCTGTGATATAAGAAGAGTTCTGTGTTTGCAGGTTCTTGCATCTGTATGCCAGTGCTAAATACCTCACAACTTCAGGCTAAGCAAAAACTAACTCATAGTCTGAGTTCTGAGTGCTGCTCTCATGTTATGAATGTTCTCAGCTCCTTTGGAGACACCATGTGCAGAGGATGGTGCTGTGCCCAGCTCAAAGGGCTTGTCTGGCAGGGCTCGTGGGCTTCCTGAGCTTGTTTTACCAGATCACCAGAGATCTACCCTGCATCCAGCCTTGCTATAGAACCATTTAGCTTAGGGAGAGTGCCAAGAGCCAACCAGAGAGCTCTGAAGTTTGTTATCGCATTTAATATGGAAAGTTGATTGTAATTTCAACCAGAGCTGTGAAGTTAATGTCCTGAAGTGAGTGTTCTAAAGCAGCTGGAAAAAACACTTACATAGAGGTCTAACGTGTGTGCATTATGAGCATCACCTGATTTAACATAATTCTTTTGAGCATATTAAGGCAAAGACAAATGCAGGCTTTGCTTTTTAGGTGACACTTGTTAAAGGAATTTCGAGATTCCTTAAAGTTGTCTTATAATTCAAATTTACCACCTTGTTTAGAGATGCTTATGCTTCTTTGGGTAATTGCTGAAAGAAATTACCGTGTTTCAGCAGAAAGCATATTGCAATCACAGCAGTCCATTTATTTTTTTCAGTCCATTTACTGATGATTTTGCAGTTGTCATTTGAGTGTAGGTGAAGTAATAATAAACAGAGGATAGAGTTTATCTCCGTACAGAATGTTGTAATGCAGTAGTAATAGCAGGCATATTTGTTCTCATCAGTTTGGCTTCCATTTTCTTATTAATGGCACTAAAATCTACAGTTTGCAATTAATCATTTGGAAGCAACAGTAGTGTAGCACCTTGCTTAGTTTAATTTCAGTTTATTGGGGTTTAAATTCCCATTGTTCTTGGTTTGGGTTTTTTTATACTTGTCATGATCATGATCCTAATTTTTCTTTGTAAGATTCAAGTATTAAATGTTTACTGTAAATTCTGTCATTGCTTTTGAAAGCACTGTGTCAAAAGGAAACACTCTGAACCTTTGTACAACTTCTGTAAACTTTTCCTTTACAAGAAGTATTTAAACCAGTATTTTCAGTTGGAAGCAAAACATTGGAACAAAAACGATGTGCATAAGTAATTTTCAGATCAGCTGAAGTGATGGTTGGCTCTGCTGTGCTCGAGCTCCCCAGCATGCACCTTCTCAGAACCTGCTCTTTAAGGGCTACATGGTATGGGCTTTGCATTTTATGATGTTGGGAGAATTCTAAGTAGTAAAAATACCACATACTTTAAAGCAGTGCTTGTCTAACCTGTGCTGCTGAACTTGGTGTCTCAGCGGAGCAGAACTGTGGCTTTGAGGGACAAGAAGTGGAGAAAATACATTGTAATTATTTACTTTGAGATAATACTCTTTTATTTCTGATACATGTAATAGTTAGCAGGTATCACTAGATCATATTAAGCAATATTATTTAAATATTGTCTAAGTTGATTTTTTCTTTCTTTCTTCCTTTTTTTTTTCCTCTGTCTCTCAGTTTGTAAGACTTGTATCGTTCAACACTTTGAAGACAGCAATGACTGTCCCAGATGTGGCAACCAAGTGCATGAGACCAATCCACTAGAAATGTTAAGGTAAGGTGCTATTTCACAACATTTGCTAAAATGGAAAAACAAAAAACTGAACAAAACCCCTAACATCTTTATCCTAAAAGGGAATTCATTGTTTGACTTATTTGTATAATGCATATATTAACTGTTCTGAGCCATATAGGTTGTCATTTTCTCAGCTCCCACTAAATTGTAAAATGATTTTTTTTCAGATATAATAAAAGGAGGAAAGGTAAGGGAAAGATACTGAAAGACTGGGTATATATTACAAGTTAAAATAAACATTTTAGTACATCTATTAAGCAATTAAATGAACCAGATACCTTTTATTCTTTACATGGAATTAAATTAAATTGTAGAGTTTCTTTTTTCAAATTATTTAGGGCATTCCAATCTACATGGCAAATTTTTTCTTCTTACAGCTATGTTGAAAATGAAGCATGCAAATAACAATGTTTTTCAGGGCATAGATCTGCCAATCTGAATTGAAATCTACTGTGAGATTAATGAAAAGATCTTAATGAAAAAAGGTTTTGACACTAAAAATACCCTTTTTTGAGAGTTTGTGTTTTTATATCACATAACACACCTTTTTAAAAACAATTACTTTTCTTGGAATTTTGGATTCTCTTTTAGTGATGTCATGTTGAAATAAAGGTGATAGACATCCCTTAAGTATAAGATGGAGAAATCAAGAAATGTCATCATAAGTGGAAGAACTTCATATTTACTTCAAGTGATGTAAAGAGGCAAGAGGGCACTCTGTGCCCTCTCTCCCATCAGTCCCCCCACCCCACTGCACCCCGCAGTATTCTTATTTTGTAATACCGGTGTGAACTTAGGGAGAACTATTCTTGGCTCAGTGTTAAAATATACATTTACATCTGGCATTTTACTAGGGTTGGGATCATTTCCTGATGTCATTGTGTTGCTACAGATTTGTCATATATTGCTTTGATTTTTGACTCGTGTATGCACAACCATTCCCTTGCTTCAGTTATATACCAAGAGGGGAGGAGATTGAGGCTAAATTCAGCAACTCTAAAGGGTGTTATTGGCCTTAGTCTTTATCATCTGAATGTTTTTGGAAGAGTAGGGCTAAGAGGGCTTACTTATGTAGTAGAAAGTACTTTTTTGATCTCCTGTGAGTATTTGAGGTGCTGTGTGAGCTGTAATAGAAGATGCTACTAATGAGCTGAAAACAAAAGCATTTTAGAAATATTTTCATTCTGATGGGACCATTTCCTAGGAGACGAAAAATGCATTTTCTGAAACATTTTTAGTAAAGGAATACTGTCCTTTGAGCTGGAAAGTAGAGATGGGTGAGAAAAGTTAGAGTGCAAGCCAGAAATGTGGGAAGAGCTATTTTCTGTACAATTATTTCCTGAAATTCCTTTTAGAGTCATTTGGTCTGTTTGCCAACAAACTGCATATAGTTAGTAGTTTCCTGGTTATATTTTATGAAACAGCTTTAAACATTTGCTAAACAAATAATCAGAAGAGCACATGAACAGTGTAATAGAATGATCTTTTCTTGGAAGTTGCCTGCATAACTTAATGCATGTCTTATGCTCTGACCATAGAGACCAGCCCCATCATTGCTAAAGAATGCAGTCATTTTCTGAGAAATGGCATTGAACACTAGATAGTAGTTTTAACTTGAGATCTTTCAGATAAACTTTATAAACTACTTATAAACTCAATTCTGAGTAACTTCATAACTGTGAGGATTTTTACATGTATCTCTTAGCTGGCAGCAATTAGGGTCTGTTGAAACTGTGACTGAGTCTGAAACTCAACATTGAGTTCTAAAATGAAAATGTAGGAAGTGTTAAATACTATAATTCCCTTTACTGATTTAGCAGAATTCTGCATCATCAGTACTCAGTAGGACTATGTTGACTTTACCATGCAGACAGGCTTCTTTTTCTCTTGGTAGCATTCTTCTGTGCATGCAAGTTTTCCTGAATGGTAGTCTTAGAAATATTTTGGTTCATGTTTGCTGATAATTATCAAGAGAGTATTGATCTTATAAGTCATTCAGTATTACAGAAGAGGTGAAAAAAGAAACTATACAAAGCTGACACAAGTGCTTGGTTCTTCTGCCTGTACGTTGTTGTTTGGAAGTTGGAAGATGTGGGGGTGGAAAGAGTTGTGTCTAAAATATTAATGTTCTTGTTACAGCATTAACAGAGAGTATATTAAATAACTGAGACTGAATTTTTCAAGTAGTCTTGGTTTGGAATGGGTTTGATGCAAGTCACAGAAATACAAATCTTTATGTTAGAGTGCTCGTAGGTTTGGATAATAGCAACACTGTAAGATGCATCTGAAATTGAGAATCTTTTATAGTTTAATTTTTTTCCTATAATGTAGATTTTAATGCACTTAAAGATCAGGTAGGATTTTTTTTTCTACCTCTTTTAAAAGTACTGATTAGTATTTATGCTCTGTATGGACTAAATAGCGTTTTTGTTTCATTTTTGGAAGAAAATAAAGACATTAACTGAAGTGGGAAGCTGGTTCTTGCTGCTAGCATTGTAAATTTGCAAAGTATGCTGGAGTTTTTTTACTATTTTAGCGTTACCAGTGACTTTTGTTTTGTGCCATTGAAGACAAATTAGAAAGTGCAAAGTGGGATCTTTCAAAAATAAATGTAGAAAACCCAGCATGTATTGTATCATACTGAGGAACTGTGGGATTTTTAATTAAGGTAGTGGCGTTCTCTTTTGAAGTCCTCATTTCGTTTCTCTTAATCAGTACGTTATGAAGATTGGAGCTTTCTTAATATGTGAATTGAACTCCATTTCTAAGACAGGTTCCCAAGTTCCCAGTGCTCTGCTGTGGGAGCTTCATAGAAAGCAGTGCCATCTACTTACGTTAGATACTGACAGAGGAGGCTACAAAATACGTCATTGGGAAAGGTAGATCTGTATTGTCCTCTGTCAAAAGTTAGGCACTCAAGACATCCCACGATTTTTGTTTCCTTCTTATCTATGAGAAAGTGTTCTCTGTGCTGCTTTGTTTTAGCAGAGGTAGGATTCACTAGCTGATTTTTTCCTTTTTTTTTGGTCCCTGTAAGAAGAAGCAATTAAAAAATGGATTATGGTTGTAGCTTAAACATGAATATTCTTACGGTATGATTGTATCCATTGATGGATACCACAGGAAACTAGTCTCAGAACTAGATGTTTGGGTAATAGGTCTAATTGTAAACTTTGAATTACAGATTCTGTAAATTACTTTGAAGTGCAAATTCTGTAAAGCAGAGAACCTCCAATACTCATATATGTATTATAAGAAGATAATTGTTATCCGTTAAATATGTACATATGCACATAACATGTACACATATGTGTATTTGCAAATATATATGTAGAGAAGTACATTCTGAGTTGAAAAATTATGGCACTTAAAAATATACCAAAGGCAATTATTGTATTGTAGTTTCTTACTAAATTTCAAGGTACTTTCTCTGGCCGTATTACTTTGTATTTTGTTTTGTCCTGGGTTTTTGTTTGGGCTGTGGGCAGTGGCAGTTCCTGTTCACAAGAAATGACATAGAGAGCAAAGAAGATAAAGGAAAAGAAAACACAATGAAATACAGAGGAAACTGAAGAATAAGAGAGACAAGGAGAGGAAGTGGAACAAGAAAACAGATGATAAATTAAATGGATAGGAGAGTAGGTTAAATTCAGAGAAAAGGAAAGAAAAGTATTTTAGCTTCAGCAGCAAAGGTAACTGCACTGTGTCCAGAGGAAGAGACTGAAATAACTAGTTTTGGCACTGATATCAGGGTATGAGAGGACGTGCCTGTGCTGTGTTCTGTCTTCTGATATACAAACTCATGGCAGATTTAAATAGTTCAAAATAATTATGGGTACTGAGAACTGTCAAGTCAAAGCAGCATGGATGCTCTGTGGTCTTCTTTATCCTGCCAAGATCAGTTTGTCTGTGGTGTAGTGAGCAGGGAATAGGTTGTTCAGGTTTTCATAACAGGCTTATTACCAAAGCACTTGAACACTTAATATGATAATGGAGTTTATAATTTTCATGCTTACTACTTATGAACTGGACCTTAAAATTGGATACTACTTTTCCAGTCTGTTCCTTTTAGTAACATGAATGTTTGCATGTAATAAAAATTCAAACTTTTGTTTCATTGTTGTTCTTATAAATTGAAAAATAAAGTCCTTGGTTATTTAAAAAATAAATTAATTCAAGAGGTGGTTGAGATAAGCTTTGATGCATGTTGCCTCTCAAGTTAAAATCAGTTGGCTTTGACAGGATTTATTATTTACCAGAAAAATGCAACTCATTTTATTATTCAAAAGGTTTTGTTATTTAAACATTAAAAATTCTTAAAATACTAGTTTCCATTTAATGTGAAATGTATTTTTTCCCTCTGAAAGGCTGGATAACACCCTAGAGGAAATTATATTTAAGTTGGTGCCTGGACTTCGAGAACGTAAGTTTCTCACTTGGTTTTGGGTACCTGCTTGGGTTGATGGAGGGAATATTTCTATTTCTAGTTGTATATCTGTATTATTGATTAAAAAATTCACATTACTGTTCTTTGGTATTAACTAGAGGAACTGCAGCGAGAGATCGAATTTTGGAAGAAAAACAAACCTCAAGAAAATGGACAAGGTGATGATTTTTTTCTCTCTCGTCTGTGTGTTAAATAACATTGTTCATTAAGGCGTGTTTGTTCACTTACACAAGTACATTGTTTTTACTGAATTCATGGTACTACAGAAACTTGTAGTAAATCTGTGTAAGTGTAGTGTGGGCCATCATTTACTGCTGCTTATCTATTAACCAGTTGTTTTACAAACACTGACTCTTTTACCATTATTTTTATTTGCATTTCCCTGTGCTCTCACTTGCAACACTCTCATGATTTCCCAGTTAAATTCTTAATTTTCTTAATACAGCAAGATACAGATTTTTTTTTTTACAGAATTTTTACAGATTACTTTCTGTTACTGAATGTGACCATCTGTTAAGTAGGAGGTTGTCAAGAATTAGTTACGACAAGTAGTAAAACAGTTTTCCACACATGCTAAACAATTGTTTTATATAGATTCCACAATGTTGTGGGGGTTTTTTGTTGTTGACCCATGAAGTTTGAAAGCTCAGTATTGAGGTACTAAGTGAGGACTACATCCAACTGTTTTAATACCCCTTTAATTTGACACCACAGCCTATTTGATTTGATTTTGAAGAACTTTTGAAAGGCTCTGCTAAGTTAAAAAATAGCTCTTTTTAGTAAAGAATAACTGTCAAGAAAATATCTTGTAATACTCTTCTGCACTCACTTGTTTATATCTTCCTTTCAACTTCATAACATTTCATTTTCTTTCTCACTGGTTTTGATGATTTGCATTCAGCATCCATTGTAAGGGACAAGGTTATTTTCTCTGTTACGTAATTAAATGAAGAACTGCAGAACAGTTTAGATGAAGTTGTGTTAGTTTACTACATCATACTATGTAGTGTATACTTGTTCAGTTTTAAAAATACTTAGAAAATATTTATATAAAGGATAGACATTTCTTGACCTTTTAGAAAATTATTTTCTGCTATATACATAAATAGAAAGAATTAACACAGCATTTACAAATTTGTAGAATGTAACTTTTAACCAGCTTATTCTTCTGGTTCTTACCTTCCTCCCACAGTTTAATGGGAAACCTAATGGATTATTTTGTGAAGGAGAGGCAGGCTCTGACTCTATAAATATGCTTATGAGTAGCTATATATGTATCCAGCTCCATTAGTGACTGTATTCTTGGGCTATGGAAATTTGTCTCTACATAGCATTTAAAAGTCATGACAACTCATTAAGACAAATTATGAGCATTTAAGCTGTTTTCTGCCATAAACAAGCATTTAGAATTTTGCCCAAGAATGAATTATTCGCTGAGAATAATTTCAGTAAGAAGAGACTGTTTCAATTGTCAATACCATGCCCTACAATCACGTTGTCAATCTAGTTTAAGAGCCTGTCAGTTATGTCCTGTACCACAGGTCATAGCACAGTTCCCAATCTTAGCATCTAAGATATGTAAAAAAATCCCAGGACTTAGTTTTCACACATCAGAAGGAGGAAGGAACTCAAACAACAATGCATATCTCAGGCATTGGTGGTGTCAGTAGGAGAGTGGTCACCAGAAAAGATTAATGGGTGATGAAACACACAGTGATACAGAGAAAAAAATAGTCATTGGTCCTTTCCAGCCTGAACTGGGGAAGGAAGAGGGCAAACAGCTTTACAGGAACTCACTCTCTGGTGATTAGTTTTATAGTCAATAACTGAGAAAAGCACAGAAAGTAGACAATATCCAAGGTTTGCAAGGAAGATGAGAAGAAAAAAGAGACACCAGTTTATTCCCTAGAGAGAGAGGGGTGGAGGTGTTTGTTTGGTTTTCCTTTCCTGTTCTTAGCTTGATGTTTTTTGACTTGGAGAACAATGAGCCCATTCTGGTGAGATTAAATTTATTTCTTTTTAAACTTCTATCGTATTGAAGTTTAATAACATGCCTGTAATGGAGCATCACATTGATTTTCGGAGGCTGCCTGTACAAACATCATTAATTCTAATATCTACAAGGATTTTTCAGAAAATATTCTGGTGCCATTTACATGGGGTAACATTTGAATTTCTATCAGGATACCTTGGAAGATGTGACCTTTTTTGCATGTGTACCAGTTTCTGGAATTATTTTATGATGCGAAATTTCCTAGTTTCCCTAGTTCTGTAGTTGGTTTGTTTTTCAAGGCTTTTCAAACTACCTAACTAAACTTTCCTCCATTATTCAGCATTGGTAACTGTTGAAAGTTGTGGATGTTCTTGCAGAAGGCTCTGTGAATCATAGGCAGGCCCTCAGATAAGTGATTGTGACGGACAAACTGCACGTGCTGGATTAAGAATTTGCTTCCTGGACTTTCACAGACAAAGAAATCTGAAGTTTGATACTGAAATTCTGTTCATAGGAAGATGATAATAACAATGTGTATATGATACACAATCAACTGAATGTGTCAATAGCTAATTAGGGGATTTAAGGACAAATATAATTATAAAATAATTAAAAGCTGTGAGAAAGAAAAGTAATGAATAGCTTAAAACTCACCTTGAATATTTAAACTGAACAAAAGAGCTAGTTACTGTGTCAAGAAACTTAGTCCTGGCTTGGTATTTATTAAAATTTATGTTCTGTTTTCTCACCTATACTCTTCTAAATTACTTTAGAAGTATCCTAAGTGTAGGGAAGCAGCAGAATTTGATATGAAAATTTTTCAAAAAGATGCAAAGGCATCTTATTCAACTTAATTGTGATAAAGTTTTATTGCAGCAGAGAACAGCCTTTGTTTTAAATCTAAATAAATAAGTTGGGGATATGGAAAAAACCAAATGTATACAACAGGACTATTGTGTACTGTATTCCAAATATGTAAAATTCACCCCATTTTATGGTTATTATTTACATACATGTGGCCTTATCTGGAGGTATTTGCTGGTCTCAGCATTCAAGTGTTCAACTTTGCTAAACTTTTGAAAATTGTAGAAGATGGTACCTTTTCTAGAGAGGTAGAATTTTAAACCAGGAATCCATAGAACATTTTAAACCAGGAATCCATGTTAACAGTATCAGTGAAAAGAGATAACACATTAAATGTGATTTTGTAGGATATATGTGCTCTGCTAAGAAAACTGGGACTCTTCCTTTCTTACTATTTTTTATTTTTAAAGGGGAATAAGTAAGTGCAGAGTTGCAGGGTTTTAATTATCGGACACATCAGAAGTAGACAGCCGTAACCATTATAGTCCATCAGACTAATTATTCCATAGAAATCCACTGTTTGCAGATTGCATTAAAATTTCAATAGGAAAAATTTGTTTTCAGAGATTTTTTAATTAGTCATTAAAGAATGCGCTGAATTAAAATTGTATAAAGTTAATTTGAAGAAAAAATATGCGCATGAAAAGGTTGTATTTCTTAAATATGTGACTTTTATTTACTTTACACTTAAATAATTTGATCTTCATATTTTACAGATGAAAGTCCAAAAGCTGATAGACCCAAAGTAGATGAGGAGTGTGATGAAAATGAAGAAGATAAAGACTATCACAGGAGTGACCCACAGATTGCTATCTGCCTCGACTGTTTACGCAACAATGGGCAGTCAGGAGATAATGTAGTCAAAGTGAGTAGTAAACAATCTGTGCTGTTGTTACTGATGGCAGAATGGCATCTTAGAGGAACCAAATTATTTTATAGCCATTAACAATAAACCTTAATGTGGTGATCTCTCCCCACTTCCACGCTTATTTAATCCTTCTTTTTGAGGCATTTCAATGCATCTTGAAATTTTTTTAAAAATACGGTTCCATACAGGAATTCATCTGTGACTGTGGAGTTTTTTCTGTGTATGGATTATAGTTTTGTAGTCTACAGCCTTGATGGTATATCACTGCATTACACAACAGATTACAGCATACCACAGAGGTACTTATAAAGCTAGCTGTAGGTGAGCTGCCTCATACTTTCAGGATTACTGTCTTAACATGCCAGCATGAACCTGCTTTTGAGATATGTTGTGCACTGAATGACTGGGATCCAGATCTTCTGAGCTGTAAACCTGATTCTGACACAGATGTGTTGTCTGTGGCCTTGGGCAGGTCACCTCCATCTGCAAACTATGCAGAGTAGTACCTGCCAACTGCTGTTTTAAGAATTAAGTGTATTTAGTTTCTGTTCTTGAAGGGGATTACCTAATGATATTGAGTATAGAGGAAAGTCTTTAGAAATCCCCTTAGATTTTAATAATGTTTTATTAAAATACAAATAGAAGAATTTAAAAAATAATATTTCTAATAAAATTACTTTGTGGTATGTTAACACAGTAAGAAAGTTTTGATTCATCAGAAAAACATACCTCTATGTTATCACTCCGTTTGTGCTTTATACAGTGAGAAATCTGTGTCTCCATCACCATGTGAGAGTCTCAGGTTTCCAGTCTTCTGCTGAATCAAAACCATTAGGATCTGGATCACAGAATCTATGATAATAGATCATGTCTTTTTTTCTCAAGGACTGAAGAGTTTCAAAGAAACACAACATTTGTTTAAACCCGGGTGTTACTAACACAAACACGTAGATTATTTAAGTTCTTCTGGGGGTTTTCATGGTTTTATGGCAATTGGGCTTTGTTTTTTTCCTTTCCACCCTTTGATATCTTTTAGAAACTTTTTTAGAACCAGAGATGGGTCAAATGAACTTGTTTGTCACCTTTTAAATTTTGCAGAAAAAATGAACCTACGATGCCCTTATGGATTAGAAGAGTTAAAGCTGCTCTTGTACTAAAGATTGCTCTAGTTTACCAGAATGTCTAACATGGTTTTTCTCATTTGTTGCTATTGCTTTAGGGTTTAATGAAGAAATTTATCCGCTGTTCTACTCGAGTGACTGTGGGAACTATCAAAAAGTTTCTCAGCTTAAAATTAAAACTTCCAAGTTCTTATGAGGTACATTTGAAAGAAAAATGCTTTTATTTTTATTTCTCTGCAACATAATACATTCCTGTGAAATTTAATCATGTTTGAACCTACTTCCCCTCTTTCCAAGGATACAGGAATTTAGACTGAAGGACAATTTCTTCAACCAGTTCTCTTACAGGAACCAATGACTCTATGAACTGCAGCCTCCCAGCTTCAGTCAGGGATAGGGCTGAGTTAGGTTAGGTGCACGTGTGTTGCTGCAGTTTGCCCTGTTTGTCACAGTGTCATGACATGCTGACCAGCCTTTTTGGTGTCATTTGGCTTTGTTATTTTATCTCTCTTGCACCTTAATGGCTTGTGTTACAAAGAATCTCTTTACCTCAAAATGCTTTTTTTCCTCTAAAAACCAGAAAAACTTTATAGCTCTAGTAATCAAAATATTGTCAAACATTTTCAGTGACGCATAGCTGTAACATGCTCTAATACAGTTTAAATTAGTCATTTTTCATAATCAGATGATTATTTTTCTCTGTCTTTTGCTTTCAGTTAATGAATGTTAGTATACTTGGAAGTGCATTTTTTTGTAATTTATAGTTATTTTTAAACTAATTTTTTTAAATTAGTTTGCAATTTATTTTTTGTATGACAATTACGGTACTTCTGGTTTGTATCTTTGGGTTTGAAAGAGTATTGGCATAGTAAGGTGGTCTTCTAAATACAGCAAAAGTTTTCAAACAGATACTGTGTACTATTGCTAAATATAGGGAATGTTTGTCTACTAGTGATTTCCTACCTTGGCAGACTTCTTTCTGTTCACCCTTCACATGAAAACACGAATGTGAAAAAAATAAAGTGAAATAGTAGTGTACAAAATAGCATATTGTCAGCATGTTGTATTCATCCAGGTTTGATATACATGTCTGATGGAATTGTTGTATAATGATAGAAGTTGAGGGATTAACTCTGAGATACACTTAGGAGTTCATTTAGATACTAAAATTTTGTCTTACTGTTTGTTCTGTTATATTTTAAGCTGGATGTACTATGCAACGGAGAAATTATGGGGAAGGATCATACTATGGAATTCATCTATATGACAAGATGGAGACTAAGAGGCGAAAACGTAAATACTGTTACATTATAAATAATTGATATTTTGGTATATTTATTATAGACAGTATACATGCTTTCAGGGCTTGGTCCAAAAATATAGTCTACAACCCTTCAAAAAACCCTTACTTAAAAATGCCTTTGCATGTTTGCTGGATTTCTTATGTAAAACCCTGTGAGGGAAACGCTGCAGCACATATATTGAATAGATTCTGAAACTTCAAAATAGCAGATATACAATGTTTACATGCAAGTTCTGCTCCAAGTTTTAAATCAAGTATCTGAAAACCCAAGCGCTTGTTCTCTTCCTGCAAATGTGCTTTTGGTGACCTTTTGAGTTACAATAGTTGGCGAATCTGCATCCAGCAGTTCTTCAGTAAGAACCTGCTTTATTCAGTCAGTAAACTGAAAGTGACACTGGAAAATGATTGGTGAGATCTAATTGTTTCATTACTGCTTCTGTTAGTGCTACACAGATTTTTTTAGATGTACTGTTTAACACTAACATCCAGATAACAGCCAAATGGATTTTCCTTGCTGCATGTGTATATTTTTTAATAGCAATATTTAACCTTTTTACAGACATTTTTTTCAGGTCAGATACTCAGTTTGATTTAGTAGCCCTTATACCGCCTTGTATATTTAATTTTTTTTGTTAGAAGTCATATCCCCTTTGTTTCCCTTTCTTTTATACATTTGTCTGTGTGTGGCTGTGGATTGTTCTTCAGTCTTTATTGCTTTGTAGTATATACAGGGTTGTTGTCTGTCATTACTAGTGGAGGCTAAATTAGGAGTGTAGAAAATTCCAAACTTTCTATATTCTTTTTTTTTTTGTTTAAGCACCGTAGTGCTCAGAATAAAAAGCACTGGGGCACGGACAGGAAAGACAGAGGATTAAACACACTGGAGTTAACAATTCACAAGTTTCTCAAAGTTTTACCTTAATCTGAAGCAGCAGGGGGGAGGATAGATTTTGATAGCAATTAGGGGATTTAGTGTATATCAGCAAGTATTCATTAAATTTGAAAGTAATATTGAACTGAAATTTGGTGGTTGCTGAAACCACAATATTGCACGAATAAGGAGCTTAAAGTAGTGTTTTTTCTAGTACTGTCTAGAAATCACTGAGTGCTTGGCTTGCCATTTTGTATTTTTGTTAGCATTGGTTTTACTATTAGGAAGCGTTGAGGCAAAAACTTTAATGATAATGGGATTTTTTCATCCTGCAGCACGTGCCTACAAATGGACTTTTGGCAGATGCGTTGTATTGGAAGCAACAATAACTATCATTTTGACAAATAAGACATTTGTACTGGTGAAACTTTTTCAAAAATCTCAGAACTAGAGCTTTTAATGTTAAGCGAATATAAGAGTTGACAACTTGATTAAGTTTGTAAGTTGTGTTTACACACACACAGTATAGTCAGTTATGTGTTCATCGTTTATGTAGTTTTAAATCTGAAGTCAGAGATGACTAAAACCTGTAAAAATTAAACTGCTGTTAATAAATCCAGTCATCTATAGGCTTTTATGATTTTTCCCTTAATGAAGTTGCAATGGTAATTAGCTAACAACCTCTTCTTCTGAATGAAGATCAAATAAGTCCATTATATACATCTTTGGTACTATTGGCCATGAGCTTTTACTGGCATACCTGTGGACCTTACATGAGGCAGACAAGTAAAGGGAAAATGTCCATTTATTCATTAGAGAAGTCTTTCCTGTTTTTAAATAAGTTAACTGTGAGTTTTAAATTTGAAAATAAAAAAAAAAAAAAATTAATTCTCTAAATGGTAAATGTGTATGTCCAGCTGTGGATGCCTCTTATCTGATCAGAAAATCATCTCCTTCGCAGTTTCGGTGTCAGAACTGCTCATCTTCGCAAGTCTGCTCACAGGATGGCACTTTTTATCAGGTAAGAGGCACTCACGACTGTACATATTACAGTCATTAAGGTCCTGTCAGCACTCCAATTGTAATTCAACTTGTGGAGTTTTTATAATTCCTCACTACAAAGTGCTAAAACTCTGTGAGCGAGGCCTGAGCATTTTCATTCCCTCAGTGCAAGGTTTATTGAATGAATAAACACAGTCCATTCAAAAGGATTAGGAGTTTCTTTTACTTTACATTAGGCTGTTTAGGGGTTTTTTAATGGAGAGATACCCTTCTGTAGAGTGATATCCATATCAGTCTCAAAGAATTATCTAACTCTTCCTATCGCATCCTTCTAACTAAGCAGCATTGGGCAGTCACTGACAAGGGATCAGAACTGAAGAGTGTGAATCAAAGAAGACAACGTTGGTTTCATCTCTTTATGGGAATTATTATGTCCTTTTTAATGGAGTAAAGAAATGTTAGATTTTTGTAAACTATATTTCTTTCATGTATTTTAAAATCAGAACCTGCAAACTGAAGCTGATTTCTAAGTTTAATGACCAATCTGGTTCATACCTATTTGAAATGATATTTCAGTTTCCTCACTGAAAATTTTTTTTGAACTTCTTTCTAAAAGTTACTTTGCAAGTTTGAAATCATATTTTTGCATGAGTCAAAAATTAAAGCAAATGATAGAGGGTCACTCCGCACTACTGATGGCAGAGCAACCTACTACACTCATGCTTACTTCAGTAGTTAGAGTTGTTCCAGCACAGTGCATTTTATTTGTACAGTTTTGTAATTTTGTTTGCAAAAACACTGAGCCTCACTGGTTTACTTGGCAATTCAGTGAAGTGACTGCTCTGTCTCTGTCTGTGCAGTTCCAATATGATTTGCGTGCTTTTAGAGACAATTTATATAATCAAAGTGAAAACCGTGTGAAATAGCATTGGTAGTCTTATCCTTTGCAAATAAAAAAATAATCAAAGACAAGTAATTTATGGTACTACAGATAGTCTATGTTTGTTAATTACACATGCAGACTATACATGGTGCTCCCTGTCTTCTCTTCTAAATACTCCTGATACTGTTAATACCTCTTGGTTTAGGTTGTGATTTCTCTACACTCCAGTTTGTAAATGCCCTGCAAGTGTGATCACATTTAGTTCTCGTGATCATTTCACTCTCATGTCATGGAAAGTTTATTAACCCATATAGGCCTCTGCAGCTGTATCTTTGTTTCTTCATCTCCATTGCATTTAAAAGATGCAGCAAAATATTTCTGGTTTTACTGATAGCTTCTGTAATAATTCTTTGTATTTCCAAATTTGCAATTAAAAAAAGCTCGAATGAGCTTTATTCCTTTGTTCTGTGGCAGAGAGGTATTTAAGCCCATACAGCTGCTGAGCCAATGAGATTTTCCAGTGTTTTATGCTATAGAAAACATCCAGTACCCTAATGAAGTTAAGAGGAAGACTTCAGACTTAAATGAAATGCTGACAGGCTATAAAAATAAGACATTTAGTGAAACAACACTTTGAGCAAGGTGTTCTACAGCCCTGTTGGGAAACCCACCCAGTCTTGCCTTTCATTTCACAACAGCTTTGTCCAGTTCAGGAATCCAAGAAGTTGATTTGCTTTTTTTTTTTTTCCCTTTTTTTTTCCCCACAGTAGAAACTAATAAAAAGTTATCACTAGATCTGAAATTAAGGGGTTTGGATTTGGGGGAAAATTAACCCTCATCTCTCAGAAAATCAGCTGACACCAATTTGACCTCTTGTTTTTTTTTTATAGTATAGCTATGGAACCTCGGCATATATAAAATTCAAACAAAGTACACCACCTGTAAATTTACTTTGGTTTAGAAAGTAAAAAATTTCAAGATTGATTTTTATCAAGTGCAGCAACACAGAAATAAAAATTGTTTGAGTACTCCAACTATATATGTAATAAAACATAAGTATTTAAACATGTGAAAGCAGATAGAGAAATTTTGTATCAATGACAACTAATAGATTTGAGGTACGGGTATAGATTTAGCTGTTGTATGGAATTGTTTCTTATAAATGAAACTGTCATATACTTGTGTCTTAGGGATTAAATGCTGGCTATTCTTAAGGCAGTTTTTTAATTGCATTTTCTTTGTATGGTTTATGAATTATGTCTTCATGTTTTCTCTGTTTTTGTTGTTGTTTTTCCCTTGCTTTTGTTTTCAGTCTTACCCTATGGTACTTCAGTATCGACCTAGAATTGACTTCGGTTAGACCAAAGGGCCAGAACCCACTGAGATGAATCCTGCACTATTTGTTTACCCATCGACAGATTGCACAATGAATGGATGTGCCTGGATTGGGGGGACACAGCCAGATTTTCAGCATGCAAATAAGGACATTGTCTTTCTTAAAATTGTCAGTTGCATCTCTGTTGTTTCTATTAGAGCAAGCCAAGTGCCATTCTGCTACTGAAATGTGCATAAGATATTCGTGTATCTTAAGGGTGTGCTGCAAATCATAGCCAAAATCATGAAGTGTACAGTCAAGATTCAAAAACTATGGAATATTTTTGCTTGCGTGTTAGAAAATTTTTCTGGTCCTAATATTGATTACATTAGCAAAATGGCAGAGTGCTCATTCCATGTGGTGTTGCAGTTTCACACACTTACTATTTTACTGAATATTGTTGTTTAAATCATAGAGTACTGTACAAATAACTAAGGATTATACCTTGACAATATTTTATATAGAAAATATATTTAGAAAAGTGGTGGTTGGGCCACTACCTTTTTCTTGATAAGGTTCTCATGGGTCCAGGTATAGCTCGCTCATGAGTGTGCAACAGTCCTTTTACAGTGAATGAAGATTAATTACACTTAACAGGAGATGTAGAACGTGGTAATTCAAAATAGTAATTTTAAATCTTCTAAATAGATTCTACTAATATTGCTTAAAAGCACTGCAGCCTTTGTGATTGCACTTTTCTATGGTTTCCCTGAAGATTGGAATTTGGGATACTACCTATTTTTGGAAAATGGTTTCTGGTCAGATTACATTTCTTCCAATTAAGCTTCCACAAAAATGAAGCTAAAATAATATAAATGTCTATGGAAAAAATAAATTTCACTACAAAATTACAACCAAGGCAAGATTTTACATAATTATTACCTCTCATAATAAGCATTTCCTTTTAAGATTGGATGGAGGTCTATAGTATGTGAAGACAAAAATAATATATAGCTTTAATTACATATTGTACCTCTTGCAACTATCTGGAGTTTAGAATTCATTACAGAAATTTTCATTAGTTAAAGTCACATCATAAAACTTCTTCCATAAAATTAGAGGTAGTGCAATACTGAAGATAAGCAGTCTGACCAATATAATTGTTCAGGTCATCTTTTTTTTCTAAGACCTGGTAGTGCTGGATAAAGCGATTGTTGCCTTAGGGATTGCAAGCATAATGGTTCTAGTATGGAATTTTTATTGGGGTTTTGGGTAATGTTGCAGGGAGCATAGCAATGTGTATGTTTTCTGTAGTCTTCCATTGTCTTTGCTTAATAGTCAGTTGAGTTTTCCTCTTCAAGTTCTCTGGAGATATTTATAGTTCAGTAGCTTTATGTAATTTCTACTTAATAGATGCCTGCTAGTGTTGTAGATAGCTATTTACTTTCTTTATGCCTTTTGCATACAGCAAAAAGGAACCAAGTTAATTTTTCAGAAGCTACTGTAGAGTGAACTGGTCTTAGACAAAGTGAAAATTCTTTCTTGGGATCAAGTATAAAAGATGGATGCAAGGCTGTAAATCCTTTGTAAGTGTATGTCCATGTACATTAGTATGTTCTGTAGGAGAAATAAGCATGTTATGGATTAAATCTGGCCCCTTTAATGTTGTTAGGAGTTCTAACATTGATGACTTGAGGAACATCATGCCTAGGGCAGGTTGAATTCTACCATTGCACGCCAAAGCCCATACGACACACAGAAATAAAGATGCTGTCGGTAGCAGTCTGTTTAGGAAACCTGCTATTGCAGGTCAGGTTTGCACATATTGTGCAGGTGCCAGTGGGACTGGGAAAGCAAAATGTTAAGGAAGTTGCTGCCCCTTTCTGCAGGCACAGTGTGCTGGCCGATACAGGCACATGTTCGTGGGAAGGGGTGCATGTCCTGGCTGCAAGGAGCAGTCACCTTTTTGCCCACCCAGTCTGTGATGTGCTACTTGACAGAAAGAAAATTTTCCATGTAGGGAGGGCCCTTCTCTGCAGAGCCTCTAGGGAAAAATAGATTCTTTGTGTATATTGAGGTTCTCCTCATGGAGCAGCTTGGAAGAGCAAAGCATGCATTCTGATTGCGAATCATTTTTTCTCTTTAGTATACATAGTTGTTTTGTACAGTAGAAATAGGATATTATTTGTAAATATTTACATGCACATACAAATGACACCTTACAGTTTTTATATATTTCGTGTGTTTTTATACCAGAATTTTCACTGTAGATTCGGTTGGCATGGAACACCTGTTTCAGTTTATCACAAAGGTAATGGTAGGATGCTTAAGCATAATTTCTGCTTGGTTCAGGGCACAGTTCAGGGCTGAGTTTTTTTCTCAGCAATTGTGCTTGCTGTTTTGACAAATTTGAACAGAGTTGTTTTAAAAAGACAGGAATGCATCATTTTTAATCCATCCACCTAGCAGGGCCCCTGTAATAGCACTGTTTTCATGTTGCCTTTGGAATGGTTCCTAATAGAAGCTTTCTTTGACTGTTTGATAACTTTCTGTATTCATAATTCAGAGAACTGTGAATTCTCTCAATCAGAATTGGACATTGGTTTAACTCATGGTATTTGCTTGATGTGAGTTAAAACTAGGTTACAGAAGACAAATCTTCGTTTTAAGCATGGAAAATACTGACAGATCTGAATCGACGTTCCCAGCTAAGAATGGTGGCATTAAATGCATATGAGCTAACCACCTACACTTTATGCATTTCTGATTTGATGGCACAGTGCCCGAGTGCTGCTACAGTTTAATAGTTTTTGTAACAGTGAAGTGCCAGTGAAATACATATCTTAACTGGGCAGCTTATATAGCACAGGCATTGCCTTCCTTACAGGAAATTTTTCTCATGTATAGTACATATGTGCCATGTGTCTACAGATATGCATATTTAATTCATTTGTGCCAATTAAGAGTATCTGAGCACCATAGGAATATGAGAACGCATGTGCAGATTCCTGTGTGCCAAAGATGGGGTGAAGTGAAATGAGTACCTAAGCATTCCCTTCAGACTGCACCATATGCCATCCTAGAGCAGATGCCTGGATGGAGTCACACTTTCTGAGCATTCCATGACAAAGTGTCACCACTGCATGCTTGTAAAGCTTAGGAATATAAAATAAGTGTTGCTGCCACTGTGTTTCTATGGCTTTCCCATATCAGAAATACCTAGCTGCAGAGGGATAAGACCTAAAAAATTCTGCACTACTACCTAACCTTGCTGTCTCTTATTTAGCACATATGGTGCTGCTTTGTTTTTCCCTTAAAGTGAAAAGCTCATTAATTAGAGTCATAAGCAACTTTTTGTTCAGCGTAACTGATTGCTGCGTTTATCTAGTAACAAGCTGTAAGCTAGAATTTACAGACAAGATCTTCTAACATCTCAAACAATATGGAATTAGATAATTAACCAAGAAATGTATCTTCCATCATGCATTACTACACTGCTGGTAGCTAAGGGCCTAGTCCTGTAAACCTTTTTTTTTTTCTTTTTAAATACCAAGTAAGATTACTACAATAACTTAAGTGACTCACCACTATAGTAGGTACTGCTCACTTGAAAGCTTCTGGGATTTGGGTCCTAGGAGTATGCAATGATGTAAGTATATTCTGCATACTCAGCTAGCTTGCAGTTATTGTGCAAAAAAATTATAAAAGTATTATTTTGACTTTATTGAAAATGTTATACAAAACAAAGTGCCTGATTATTAATACTGAATACCTTTTCAGCACATTATTTGCATTTGACAGGGTAATATTTGCTTCTGTATTTTATCTATGGTCGTAATATTTTCAGCAAGAATATTTCATAAACATGCTGTACTGAGAAGCAGGGGAAAACGGCATAAAAAGAAATATGACCTTTTAGATAACTTAACCCTATCTCAGTAGAAATTATATGAAAAAAATACTTTTATATTGAAAATATTCCGTTTTCTGCATAAGGGACCCTTTAATTCTGAATCTTGGTCTGTTTTCCTCTATAGGTTCCAGCAATATGACTTCACTTTTCTGTTATTGAAAACAGTTCTAGTGCATCAGGAGAAAAGAGATTGATCCCATTCCATTTAGATAGAAGCTAGGCTCTTGTTCTCTGATGCAGACAAAGTAATGGTCCAGAGTTTCATCTCATCTGCCCCATGTATACCTGTTACACATGACCTTGTGAGAGACATGAGCTTTTTTTCTTTCTCTACTGCTTTCAAAAATAACAAAATAGGCCAGGGTTTAGTCCTTTAATTGAATCAATTACTGAGCTTTATTATTTGTGGGGTTTTTTTACGTTTTCATGTAACTGAAAACAAGAAGAGGCATCCGCACCCCAGAAAAAACATTCTTGAGAGGGCTTGCAACAAAAGGTATAGCATCCAGCTCAGCCAGATACTATGTCTGGTAGAAATACTAGAGAACAGGTAGCTGTTCAAAGCCAATCCTAAATCTCAAAATAAACAGACTGAGCCTTGCGTATAGAGGGGCTACATAAAATACTGGGCAATTACATGCACTGATCAAACTTATTTTTATCCTGGAAAAGTGCAAAGGCATTAAGACTTACATGCCTATCTAAGAGCTTAGTCCAGTTTCTTCACTTAATCTGGCAGGTTGAAGGCATCTCTTTGCTTCCTACAAAAATGCATATATCATGCAGCATATTCCCCTCTGATTTTACTTTGTGCTTTGTTATCTTGTTATTTTCTCAGTTAAAATGCCTTAAGCAGGCACTTTCTGTCCTCTTATTAATTCTAGGTCATTACACATCTTTTGCCCATTCCCATACCCCACCCCATTTCATACCCAACAGGTTAAAACATTGAGGAATTATGAAGGCGAAATTGCCCATGAGGTGTCAGCTCACACGTTTCATTCATCAGGCAGCTCTCACGGATTTCAGCAGAGTTTTCACAGTTCTGCATTTTGAATCCTTTTTGAACAAGGTCATATCTTCCACAAGGGGTTGAGCTAAAGACACTTGTTTGAGTAAGGATTGCAGTCTGCCAGAGTATGCTCCAGGATGAATAACAAGACATGAGGGGATTGATTCACCCTAAAGGAAATGTGAAAAGCTTCCAACTGCACATTTACCACTGATTTTGTGACATAGGGATTGTCTGACCTTCAGACCTCAGCTGAAACATCCATTGTAGGAATGTCCTCCAGCAGATGATCTTGTAATGTTAATATATTTCTCTTCATAAGCAGACTTAGTTGTTGATTGTCTAATTGCTGTCTGCACTGTTTGTAGAGAAAATTAAAGCATTAGATTCCAGAATAGGAGTTTGATTAATTAATGAATTCCTGACAGATTCTTTCATCCAAGGTATGTGCCATAAATCTTTTGAATTCAGGTAGCTTGCTGCTACAGTTGAGTAAGGCCGTGGTTTCATTCTCTAGTGAGCAGTTTAGGTCTGTTTGGTTCTGGAGTGTGGCAGTGGAACGGAGGAGCTCTGTAGATGGGTAGAAATGTCTCGGTTATCTTTTGCACTTGCAGAAGGAGACCGTGTTTTATAAGCTCAGAATAGAGGAGAATTCTGGAATGAAAGATGTCTACAGGTTGAAAGTTTTTGCCATTACATTAATTTTAACCAAAGAGAGGCATTCGTTTGACTTTGCTTGTTTTTCTGAACCATTAGGCATACTTTTCTTTGAAATTCATACTAAAACTTCCATATGTATTTTTAGGAAATACTTCTACCATGGTTGACAGGATGAGGTGAATAGAAGTAGCTACTGTGCATTTTCCTTTTTTCTTGTGATAGTGAGTGGAAAGCAAAGTAAGAGTTGAAGGAAGGTTGCTATTCGATACACAAAATCACTGCAACAGTATAACATTTTGCTGCTAGTTAACATACTGAGGTTTTTATTACAAATGAAGTTGTAATGAAGATGTTTATTATCAAAGTGCAAGGCACATATTTTATGATGGTATTCTACTCCAAAAAGTCAGTTTTGTATTGAGTATGGTAGGTATTGTTCCTGTTGTCTCCTGAATTTTGATGCAGTAAAATGAAACGTACTCCCTTTTTACTGACAAATACCACATACTAATCAATTTAAAGTCAGTCTTCATTGTCAGATATTTAGTTTGTTCAGAAAAAACAAGTGGTTTTTCTAAATAAACTATTTTTATGGATAATAAGCAGAACTGAACCATTGGTAGTTGTCTGTGTCACCAAGCTGAAGGGTTAGGCACACCTGGCAGTTTCCAGAACAAAACAGAAAAAACAAAACACAACAGGAATAGCATAAAGGTTAACAGACATAGAGTAGCTCTTTGAGTCCTAGCTCGTGTTCCCAGAGAAAAGCACAAAGGCTTGCATTACTGATGTGTCTGCTATACCTGGCCTGTGAACTAACAAAAAGCTTCAGTGTGCTGTCAATCCTGTAAACCTTCCAAAGCACAAAATAGTCACCAAGCTACTTTTAGGGTTTCTACTTGTAGTTCAATGATATTTTGGAGGGTCGAAAGGACAGACTTGGAGGATAATGAGAAGATACTAAGTATGTTTTACAGATTTTTTATAGCTATTTTTTTAGCAAATGGCATTGCTGTCCTTGATGTGAGACCATTGATTAGCAAGAAGTGATTAGTTTACTTGTGCAGTATAAAACAGAGAGACTAAAGAAATCCAAATATCTTGATTTCCAGGATAGTGATTAGCTAAACTGGAAAGTAATAGGTCAATGTAATTATTTAGCTGGCTGAAAGATTTCGTTCTAAATACTTACCGATCGTTTTTTTTTTCTCAAATACAAGCTTCTTAGCATAAACATGAAGCAATGCATCATTTTTTCCCTTATTGCAGACTTAACTATTGAAAGAAAAATATTTTGCATTTTTTTAAATTAATGCAAAGCCTGAATTGTTGGATGTTCCAGGCTACTGAATAGATGATATAGAGTTACTCTCAATGGATTTTTTGGGGGTGGGGGCCTAAGTGTCCTTATTATAAGCTGTGATCCAAGTTATGATAAGAAAGGAGCCTATGGTGAGCAGTAATAATGTTCTAATGCTTCCTTGCATTTGATCAGTAGTTACCAGTTTTTAATAAAGCAGCCCTCACAGTACTTAGGAGCTCATAGAACATATTGTGATCTTATGTTGCTAATTTGTTTTAAAATATAAAATGTTTTAAGCTTTTTGTCAAAAGTGATAACATCATATTACAAATAAACCTTTTTGTGGTTGTAAAATTTAGCTTATAAATCATTCAAATTGAAGTGAAAAAAAACACAGGTCATTGTTAATGACAGTCTATCCTACTATTAAGAATATATGTATTTTTGTAAAGGAAAAGCACTTGTAGATATTTAATCAGTCCAATATCTATCTATGTTAATGTTTTGAAAAAAAAAAAAAAAGAAAACAAAATGCTGCTTAGAGAATCACTTACATATTTTTATTTTTTGTGCTCAAATGCATTTTCTGTTGATTTATGGGATGTTGTTTATTCTGTGTGAAGCTGTATAGTTAGTACAGCTGGGCTAAATGCATTTCTCACCTTAATCAACTATCTGACTATGATAATATATTTTGTGTCTGAGCAGAAAGCTAATTGCAAAACTTAGGCTGGTGGTGCTGTTTTTCATCTTCGATATTAGCTTCATCCTGCCTTATAACTTTTCTACTTCGTAATAGGTATAAAAAATGCTACCTGTTTTTTGTGATGTATGTGTTTTAATGGACATTGCAGGGTATATTTGGTTATTTAGTTGAATCTTACTGTGCTTACAAACACTTTTATAAAAAGATGACACAATTTTACTTACAGCATTTAAAAAACAGTCCCCTGGATGAAAAAGTGTGCAAGATTAGTTGAGTTTAATACTTACTTTCCTACAGAGGAAACTACTGCTGGGTACATGCATGAAACATGATTGCATCACTAAAGTTTCTGAGAATTTAACATTTTTAAAATTTAGAATTATTAATTTCTTGTAATATTTTGTAGCTCTTTGAAAACTCACTTTTAGCTATATTTTGATTTCATCATGTTGCTTTAACACAGCTTCAGGGGGAAAAAACAGTAAAGCAAAGAATTTTATTAAAGTACAGTAAAGAGTGGCAACCATATTTGTTTGTAGTTATTAGTGTACAATCCAAAATCTGTTTACTTATTTCAGTGGGATTCTACAGGGATATAATCTGGGGGCTAACGTGTTGCTCAGTTGAGTTGTTCAGCTTGACCTCAGTGGAGCGACTTTCTGCGATTGTCCTTGTAGCTAAGACTTGAAATGGCTGTTTTCTTTCATGGATGGCTAATATTGTTTAAATTTATTCCTATTATGTTAGCCACACAAGTAAAAAAGTTTTGCAACACTGAGTGTGTACACTAGGAGTAGAATTCATTGTTAGGAACTCAGCTGACTAAATACTTGTATCCTTTTCAAACTGGGGGAGAAATTGACTCAGAGTATGAACATTTGAAATGGCATTCTCCTATTTGTATGCATGCTTCACGAAGGTTTGCAATTGATCAGCACTTGATGTATTCGTTTTATTATATGAACATTGTCCATTTTTATAATTTTTGTTAAGAGCTAATTTCTGTAATAATTCATTAGGGTTGACATCTCAGGGTCCACGAAGTAGCAGTTGAAAAACTTAAATCCATTTGATCTGAGTGCAATACAAATATTGCAGGCTTGTATCTTTTGAAGAACCAAATATATTGTGTTTTGAAGTATTTTAAAAAGCACTGTAAATTTCACCCAGTTCTACCAAAGGAAGCGGGGGGAGGGTTAGTCTTAGAAGCTGAGTGTGGCCCTGGAAAAAAAAGATGAGACACCTGTAACTGTCAGTACTAGTGAGCAATTTTATAATTAGGTAAGGGAAGTGCTGGTACTTGGGGTTTTTTTGGCAAAACCCCGAGGTTGTGCCTCTTGATGTAGAGCAAAGCGTGCCTGTTCAAAGCTGCATCGACATTTTTAAGCAAGATTTATTTTCAAAAAACAACTCATGCAAACCCTGTAAATGGGCCTTTAGAACTTTGTGTGTAAATTTATCTGGTATGTAATGATATTTCTAATAATGAACTACCTGTGTGGCTCAGTACTGGTGATGTTGCATTGAGTGCTTCATGCTAATGTCAAGAAGGTTTACAGCACCTTTGTAATGGCTGGTAACAAATGACAATTTGGCCTGACCCGTATGCTGCAAGATGCCTCTAGCCCAGTTGGATTAATTTTGTGAAAAATCTAGATGAGCAAGAAGTATAACTAATCTGCTTACTAGCACTGAATTGCTCCTTTCTCAAAGCAATAAATATATTCATGTTGTAACATCTGTTGTGCAGCCTACAATACGAGTTGTTTTGTTGCATTGTTTCTATATAATTTATTTTGTGCAATAAAAAATCTCTGGTTTTATCTGACTCCTCTCTCGTTTGTAATAATATTTGAATTAAAACATTTATTTGCTTTGTATCTTAATCACGGAAGCGTACTGTCAACTCAGAAATGCACAGTATAAAACAGAGTGTAGTAATATTATGCATTATAGAAAAATCAGAGGGGACTCACATGGCCTAATTTTGTTCTACTTAATGTCATAGAGTGTTACCATTCATTTTCACAGGTGCAGAGTCTGCCTCACACTAAAGCTGACGGGATTTTGCACCCCATTTGTGAAATATAACCAGGTGGGTTACAGAGAGTGACTCTGTGTTTGAGGCTCTGTTTTAAAAAAACATTTTCATAGAGCTTCTGCCACTTTTTTTTAACCTAATTTCACTGCCTTTTTTTTTTTCCTTTTTGTTCTCTCCTTTTTGATGTTTTTCAAGGTTAATATAGCTTCAGCAGTGTTTATTGTTCTGTGCATTTACCTTCTGATTACCCTTTATTATGTTGTTGGGTTGTTTTAACTCTAAGGTGGTGTAAAATGAATGTGCGTGCAAATTGGAAGGTAGAGGATATCCTTACAAATGAGCCCATGGTGTGAACTGGCATTCTTCATACTACATACTGAGTTACTGCAAAGAAAAACAATGGAGGGAGAGCTGTTATTCAAGGGAACTTGTACCTTTTATCAGTTATATGTTACTGTGAAACCTGCAGTACCACCATAGGAGCTCGGAGATGTGGTTCAGATTTAGAAACAATAGAAAGGATTGTTGATTAAACTAAAATGATCTGAAACAAAAAAACTATTTTTCATCTTCTTGTAAAATCCTACATGTTATCAGCAGAAGATAATTGCTTGTGAGCATAAAATGTGAAGGTATATATAGTATGTGGCACTATGTACATCTGATTAAATAACAATTGTTTGTTAAGTCACAATTATCTGTTAACAGTCAAAGAGCAGCTGTGGCACCACTGGCTGTTGTGTAAGCTGTGCAGATGAAGCAGTGCAGCCTCATTGTCTTTCTCTGAACCTTTTTCATGTGGGATATTTGACCTCAGATTTGTCGAAGGTCGTAGGCTAATACTTTCCCATCTAAAAGTGTTCTTTAAACTTAAGGTCACTCAGTGAAAAAAACCCTCAAACTTTACTTAATGCTTCTATGTAATACTATTACATAGTTTATGAAACAGAAATTGAATCATATCTAAGTGCAAAATTCTGCTCCTAAGTAGAGAGCAATGTTTCCTCAAGCAAGGTTTCCATTGAAAATGCTGGTGATTAAATTATTTTTAAATAATTACTTTGTTTCAAGTAGCTAAAAAGAGGGGGGGAAAAACATGCATAAAAATAGAAACAAAAGCCTGATCAGTCATAAACCTGGATTATGTTTCATTGAAGGAGGAAGGTAGGGGTTGTACAAACAGCTATTTACATTGGGGCATAGCATATGAATTTCCTGTTAGAACTGTGATTCAGATTGCTTTCTACCCTGATTATTTTTTCCTGTTTTATTCTAGAGGAGAATATGCTATGCAATGTCATTATAGGCAAGAATAATGTTTTTCAAAAGAAAAGTGCCTTTCTAATTTAGGTTTCATTAAAGAAACAGAAATTTGCTGGCAGTATGTAATAGGAGCACCTCTTTCCAGTGGCACACTTCCAACACCTTCATTTAGAAAGAAGACTGCTGCATTCATAATTCATAAAAGCGTTGGCATCTATCCTGTTAAACTCACACAGGAAAAGAAAACATTCTTATATGCAAAAACACTGTCTGTCTTTTCTAGACTATTTATAGGTGAAGTTCTGTCCTTTCCTGCAGTACACAAATAACTACAGTAAGTGCCTTTATAGAAATACCAAAATACACATACACAACATATATGTGTCAGTGCCTTGAAGACTTCCAGTCCTGCTGCCAGTAGCCTCTACAGATTTTAATGTCCTAGTACATCTCTGCAACTGGAAGAACTTGTTACTAGCCAGTATTTCTCTTTTAATTTTTCTGTCCATGTCTTTCTCAAAGTAGTAGGATTTTATCTTGACTAGTGTCTAAAACATGTTTTATTCCCATGCTCCTCCCTATAACCTGCTAAAAGTGACGGTGACATAGAGCACTCTGTGTGCTCACAATGTCCTTGTGCTGCACCCAACATCCAGAATTCTGAAGGTCTTAAAGAGTGAGCTCAGGAAATTCGCTGCTGCTCCTGTGCTTTGCTAGTTTTTATTAAGGTTGAATTTGTCAAGCACCCTGTTACTAATGACGAATTCGTGGAGTGAATTTGAAGCCATTAACAAGGAAAGAGAAAGAGATGTACTCCAAATGGGTATCCCCTCGGAAGCCAACAGCATCCAGAATAGCACCTGTACTTCTATATCTCCTTTCTACAGTGTTGATTGCATTATAACGTTAAACAGCAATTCCACTGCCGATTTCTAGACCCTTTCTTTTTCTCCAAGTTTTCAACTCAGATTGTTATTCTCTGGTAATGAAAATTCCTGGAACAAGAGAAGAAAAGGCAGGATACTGCTGAATGGTACTGTAATTTGAAGCAGTCAGCCTCTTTCCATGTTCTGCTGGTTGCAGAATCTTTCTTCTTAGAGTGAAAATGTGCTTCCAGAGTACCTTATAAATAAGCAAAGAACATTACTACTCTGCTTGAGGTAAGCAGTATGCAGCTTGTTTTTCATCTTTGGAAAAATTGCTGTCGAAAAGCTCTCTGGCTAATACTTTGAGAGAATGAATGTGCATGGTCAGAGCATTGTCCATGTGATTTGACTTTTTTTTTTTATTAATTCACAGAAAAATGTGTGCTAGTGAATTTAATATATTAATAAATATGTAAATTGTGCTATAGCTTATTTAGATAAGTGATACTATAAAAGGTAAAATCTGTGTTTTCAACCAAGGGCTGCTATAATTCAATTTTCTATACTTGCTATAAAAACCACAAGGTATTATGTCACAGCATCACAACAGCATGAAACCAAACACATTATGTAGATGCTTGATCAGATAAAGGCATGTGCTTAAATACCACTCCCATGTGTAACTTGCAACAGGTGTAGATAGGCTTTTAGTGCTCCTGTTGTGGAAATATGAAATGGCTTACTGATATCATGTTCTCCATTTGTTTCACAGATTGTATTTAAAACAAGATGATCACTTGGAAAATAGATGCCTACCATGTCAAAGGAATACAAAGTGCTTTGTATGTTATGAATTTAAAACATACACATGCAGGAGTGACTTTGCCATGGCAACATGGCCATAGCTGAAAGTAGAGTAGAGCAACTTAGCACAAGAAAATAATTCAACTGCAAGATAAGTTTTCAAGGTAACAGTAATGTGAAATCAGAATTCACAGCTGAATCTATTCAGTCTGCCCCCTGATTTTGGAGAAAAGCGTCAGTAAAACCCTTTAAGTGATTGCACAGTGAGCTGCCTACCATCCACATTCAGCCTCAAAACACCGATTTCTGCCTGCAGCTCCTGGCCAAGACTATTCTAATTCATAGGGTTAAAAAAATTCAGAGTAAAATGTTTTATCCCTAGGAGCCTTAATATAGTCTCATTTCACAACATGGGGAAACTAAAATAATCACTGCTTAAAAAAACTGAAGAGAAGCTAAATTCTTCTAAATCCCTTCTAATATCTTCTGGATTTTGAGAAGGAGGTGGATTGGCTAGGAGAGCCTACATGTCTTTCCAAGGAGAGGGCTGTATACTAATTTTCTTTATTCTGATGTCATCTCTTGCTAGTCACAGGAGGAGACTGGCTAAAACCAAAGCTGAGTAGCCCATAAGAAAGTCATCCTTCACCTCTGGTAGTTCTTATCTGTCTCAATTGCACAACAGCAGGTGGGGACAAGAATTTCCAGAGATGCAGCATCACAGCAGCATGTGGAGGAAATCACTCAGCACACCAACACGAGGGAGTACCAGGCAGCACCCCAGAAGAGCAGTAACGAGCCAAGCAGCTGAGTACAAGTTTCTACTGGTGCACTTCTTAAGCTATTCATAGCTCTGTGCTATGGGGTGGAAACCGGCAGCAGATTGACAGCAGCTGGGTGTTTTGAACCCCTTTACAAGGTCACTGTCTACATGTGCACCACGCTTCATTGTAGACAAGATGTTTGCCCATGGGTTATATATAAAATACTGGATTTCAAAGTATGTTACCTTTCACCAATAAGCATTTTTAGTATCACCCATCTTAACTGCTGCCAAGCATGACTCAGGTTAAAGTAGGTAGCCAGCAGATACAACTGTATCTTCTAAATGTCCTCACATTTTACTACTAAGAAACATAGACTTAGTTCCAGCTACTGTGTGTAGTCTGATTGTAAGAGTTACCAAAGAGCTTGACCTTGGAAAACTGTGGAAGAGCATCCTAGAGCCTTACTACAGAATTGCTGGCAGAAGCTCTGGCAGAAGACGGGAGACTCGGTGTGGCCATCAGCTCGAGACTCTGGCTATGAAACCCAGTGCAAGACTGAGCCTGTGGATCCACAAGTTTCTTGTTGCTAAACTCCTTGGGAACATAGCTCATGGGGAAGGAAAAACACCTGTTGTACAGCAGCTCTATCATCTGCTCTGCTTTTATTTTTCCACAAGGAATAAGAATCATTGAGAGTTGGCCGAAAATAGTGTGGTAAAGAGTGTATAGTTGTGATTATAAATTAGATTTCTCTGAGAAAGTAAGCACTAGAGAGTGTTCCATAGTATTAATGGCTTCCAAAGGAAGATACCATGTCCCAAGACCAAAAGCATCATGAGTTGTAGCCTGCTGTTCAGAGAACTTGTCCAAATGTATTCCTCACAGAGGCTGATGATTATTTCTATTGACTCAGTAAGTCAAATGTGGTTTTTTCCACTTCAGTACAGGATCAATTATAATCTTCTCTAAAAGACTACATGTACAAGCACCTCTAGTACAACAGACCACAAGGCACATATACGTTTTTTAATTTGAGGAGCCAAAGCTGAACTGAACTTCTTTCTCTTCATGCATCAGTAATATTTAG